CTTTCATATATTGCAAATACTCTAGTCAGAAAAAAATAATTAAAAAATTAAAAAAACACGATGAAGGATGAAGGAAGGGGTTTTTGTGTAAACAAAGCAGAACTAAAATGTGACTAGTTTGCACATCAAGAGCTGGAAAAATTACACTTTTCGATCGCATACATAAATGGTAGCAGTTTCCTAAGATGCATGATAATTCAGACCGAGTAATCATAAAATTAAAGCTACCTTTATGAGAACGGTATAAGTCACTGTTAGTGGATAAAAGCCATCTCTCAACATCATGGAGATCAATGCGCAAGCAGATCTGTAACATCCTAGAATGCTACAACAATCAATCATTATATGATAAGTCGCAGCATCTGCCGGGAAACCAAATGACTTCATATTTTTAAATATCTTAATTGCCATTTGACTCTGCATGTAATCGGAAACAGAAAAGTAGATGAACACTGGTCCAATATTCCACATATCATGAAGTTGCAAATGAAAGGAAAACCAATGGTGATGAAAACACCTACTTCCTTAGCCTCAACAAGTGAATGCAGCACTGTATTATAAATAGGTGTTCCCAGATAAATGTTATTACGACAAAATATATTCTCTGCCACGTCCAAATACTGGATCAGCTCTCTTATCATCCCCTCTGCTCCAAGCGCTTTCAACTGGAAAAACAAAAATTGAATGTCATAGATGAGGCTGGTGGGACAGGGGAAAAAGAAGGAAAAGAAAAGGAAAGAATGCTAGAGTAGGGTTCCAGATAAGGAAAAATAAAATAAAATAACAACAGCCCCCTTGGTGGCATGTTGCAGAAAGGAGGCAAGTACAAAGAACACAACTTTTACTGTTTCCAAGCAAATAAGCTTCTAGAAGACAACACAAAAGTTGTTTATTGATCTCATATAATCAATATTTATGCAAAAATAAGAAGTCATGAGTGAAACACCCTGCATGCACACGAAAGTTTTTAAACACTAATTTATCTTCCTTCTGTAGATGGTGTATGTTCTCCTTTTAAAACTTTTTCCAGAGACTTTGATGTGCAAGCTCAAGGAAATAACTACAGATACCAGGCCTAAGAGGCATGGAAACAATATCCTCGAAAAAGTAACGATGCATATGACGTACGTCTTTAAATAATTGGCGTTAGTGTTGTATGCACACAGCTACAATTTTTTTAATTCTATCACAGTATCCGTTGTTCCCTTTCTCCTTAGCTGCAAGCAGAACTAACAGCCGCAATAGGTGAAAGATGAAGTCCGTATATAAATTTTTAAATAAAAAAGTGTGTATCATGCTCCTTATACCTTCATTTTGAATGAAGAATCTGTATTATCTTACCTACACTATTTAATAAACCATGTAAAATATGCAACATTTTCTCCAGTCACCTATCAGACCATAAATTTTCTAACTGTGCAGTCCAGTTATCAGATGCTGATATTCTTAAGATTTCCATGTACAAAACTATGCACCATGTTTCATGCAGTGTTTCCATAGATAAACATCATAACCACTAAAACATCTTAACCATAGCAGAGACTAAGGAACCAGTGTAAAAAATAAAAAATAAAAAATAAAAAATAAAAAATAAAATCGACAATTAAAAAAAAGATAAAAAGATAAAAAGAAAGAGGATACTAACAAATGCTTATGTTGTACAGTGCAAGCAGAAGACAAATTCCATACTGTCTCCCACCATATACATACCAATGACCCTTGTCAATCAGAGGCAGGAATATGCCACCTATCAATACTCCATTTCATTCTCTAAACTAAAAGGAAGTATACATGAGGGTAGGGGGTTACCAAGTTCTTCATTGATAAATAACTGTGCTGAATACCATATCTTGCCATATCCATTTCTATAGCATTAATGCGTTTAGCAGCATCCACCTGTGACAACATGTCGCCCTCTTCGTATGGGGCATTCACGTTACCAAATAACGAAAACAGCAGCTCATATGTCCTAATATCAGGCATAACTTTTAATTGTTTCATTTTAGCCAACATCTGCACTGCTCGTTCAGGTTGATCCTGCATAAGTCATGCAACAATATTTGAATTTACTGGAGACAAACATGAAAAAAGCTTTCAAGTGCTGGAGAATTACAACTGAGCATAAAACAGATGAAACTTTCATAAGATGACGAAAATAAGAAAACAGAAAAACATATCCTAATTAGGGTTTTAAATCACTAAAGCGTTACCTCCCATGAGGTGAGGGCTAAGCCTCGAAGCGTAAGCTTTTTAGGCATTTCAAAGCATAACAAAAAAAAATATGAAAATACATATTATAGTGAAAAAATAGCATGATACTCACAAGTAAATAGTATAATATTTATTTGTTATTTGTTACTTATTAAATACTCATATATAAAACATAGTGTATAGCAGATTCTTTGAAAGACCCGAGCCTTTTTCCAACAGTTGCTTCGAAACACCCACTCTCTTTATGAAATTGAAGGACCCAATGTCTTCCTCTCCACTTCTGACCCAATTTCAAAGCTCCCATGGCTCTTTCTCTCCATGGCTCCCTCTCTATGGCTCTCTCCAAGGCTCTCCCACTCCATCTCAAATTCGGTAAATGTGGTTCTAGCCACTATGTTGCTGGAGAAAACACTAGAAAATCACCTCAGAGAAGCCAAAAATGGATTATTTTTATTTTTATTTTTATTATATATATATATATATATATTAATGTTGGGTTTTCAAATCCCAGGCCAAACGACATTGTTTTTCTGAGCCATCTTCTTCCTAAAAGGCTTACTCCTCTAAGGGGATGAGTAAGCCTCGAAGAAAGGTGTACGCCTCAGTCCAAAAGCATACGCTTTTGGTGACTTAGCTGCGCCTCGAGGCAAATTCCGAGGCGCGTTATTTAAAACATTGATCCTCGTTGATACTTCTATCATGCTGCCCTCTGACACCATATATACCGAGTTTTGATATGCCCTTACATAATTCCTTTTATTAGAGCCAAAAATATTCATTACCTATGAGAACAAGAATGAAGAAGCATAACTCGAACAAAGCTCTTCCTAACATTCACAATATTGAAAACCATAACTAAATCTCTTAAATTAGCATCAAACTAACTCTACTCTTACTCTTATGAGATATTCAAAAATTTCAGGGACCAGGATCTTTTCTTTTCTTTTGTATAGGGACCAGGGTCAGCACCCTACATCATAGACTACCTATTTCTGGTGGATTCTAATTTTATAATTTTATAAGTTTTAATTAACAAGGCCACATAAAATAAAATTTTCTGATATGAGAATTCAGATCTATAAAATATGACTCACCACCATGTCACATGCTGCAAGAAAAGCATTGAAAGGATGTGGATATGAACATTCAGATATTTGATCCAGCAGAGCCTCAGCGAAATCCAATTCTAGCACTTTGCTGCAACCTATAGAAAGGTTTGCCAGAGTAGAATCATACGGCTTCAAATTTCTCTGCTGCATAATTCTTAACTGCAGAAGGATAACAACAATGTTGCAAAAATCTCTAATTAAAAACGAAACCAAAATGCACAAAATACATTGCCAACAATTGCAAGATCGGTCTTTTTAAGATGATTGGCCTCTGCAATAAACCGATATAACTTACAATTTCCATTCCACTACTGAAACCTCGCTCAGAAGTAACTGCTCTGACAAAGCCATCATATGTATGGCTTGACGGTTGCAACCCAAATTTTTGCATCTAGACAAAAATGGGCTCCTTTAGTATGTCATAAGATGATATCTGAACGAGGTACATACAAAATAAATAAATAAATAAGGGCAGGATAGAGAATCACATAACTAAAACAAAAAGTTGAAATCCACAAAGAAAATAGCCATCACAATCAAAACATACAAAACTAAACTTCTGAAGCTTATAACTACATTGTTCTCCAAACAAGAATATCATATTTAGCATTTTTTTCCAGAAAAAAAAAAGGGAATATCATATTCAGTGAAGGTACCATATGTAAGATTTGCACATAAAAAGGAAAATTCCAGACATTGTAATATATTACACAAACCAACACAAGCTCCTATAGAAAGGTTATTATACCTGTAGGATCAACTGTTCTGCCAAGCCACCATTTCTTAATCGTGCACAAGCATGAATAACATCACTAAACGACCATCTCAAAATTTTCATAACAGGCTGGCTTATATGCATATCAAGCATATCCATTCGAACATTTTCAAC